AGCTTGGACCGTGTGATACTCTTCCAGAGGATGGACATGATTGCATCGTAAGTCGAGATCCAACTGTCTCCTGTCTTTGTCATGGCTCGAGACTTGAGTTCCTCCGTCTTACTCTTAGGAAAATGCCACATTCGAATAGCCAACTCGGGCATCTTGAAGTCGGCTGGCGGTGGAGGAGGCGGACCCCCGCCATCCTTAAGTACGGGGAACTTGTGGTCGAGTTCCTTCCACCGCGCAGCATCTGGCTTCTTTGCACTGAGACGCGATCGGTCCATCGTTTCCTTGGGGACTACCTGGAAGGAAGTTCCATTGGCCACCGCTGCAGAGTTCTGCGCCCAAGTGGTAAGGAAGCCGTCGCATCCCGGGCCGTCGGAACAGTTGTGATGGATAGCAACACCGAGGACGAGACCGCCTTTGATGAAATTTATCTGAAACGTAGAAATGAGGAGATCGTCTTCCTGATTGTCCCCAAGCGGCGAGAACAGTTGTTTCTCTGTCACCGCCTTGGGCAACAACCTGTGTCCCTTGAACGTCGCGGCTGGGAAATCGGTCCTATCCAGCTCTTCAAACGAAGGAAACGTTTCCTCCAGGTTCTGCACAAACAGACTGACTTCGCTGTCCTTTTTCTTCGTCACCCACAGCCGTCCATTGTCCGCGTCCATCTTCAAGCCGCCGGCGAGAATTGGGAACTGGCTCAATGTGACTTCGAGACCCTTGGCCATGCTATCCACGACCTTGGCCTTTTCAACATGTGGCGCGAGCTGGAACACCTCCACTATCTGCACATAGATCTTCGGCATGGTGTGGTCCATATCGGAGAGAGCGAAGTCCTCCTCTGCAGGAGCGCTCTCCCAACCTGCTGGGCGGATCCTAAGCTCTTTCGCGGACATGCTGCTTGCTGGGGTAAAACGTGGTTGAGGCCGAGAAGCTCCAGAAAAATGCAATGAATAAGAGACAGAAGGATTTCGCTTAAAACCACGACCCTTGAGGACGGAGAATTTCAGCAGCTGATCATGTCAAAGCCCCGACGTTGCGCGCCTTGCACTGTGGAGATGGCAAGGTTCATTTTAACCAGTGCGCCAATCATGAACTGTTTGTGAGGCGTTACTTCGGTCGGAAAACCTGCAGTTCTACATCCGATAAAGTGCCGTTCCTGACTCACTCTTGTACGGTCTCGCCAGGACAGTCTAATGTCTCGCAGGAAGCATGGTGAGTGCGTGCGGAATCTAGGCGCGGCAAGCGGCAACGGCGCGGCGCGAGCTTGAATGAAAGCATATCTCACCTCATGCAGACTTCCGTGGAGTCCAACCCCAGATTTTGACTAGGGCAATGCACAATACTTCCGAAGTATTCGCGTTCCACTACCCACATACCATTTGCGCATACATAAGGAGACAAGTATAAAGTCTACTTCTAGTTGATCAGGACACAACAGCGCATTACAGTCAAGCCTTAAGGGTAGCTCGCGGACTGCCTATAACGTAAGTCGCGATAGGGAGATAACATCAGTTTTGAAGAACACCGTGGTAATGCCACCGCTTATCACACTGCGTCACGCCGCACGTTCGTGCCCAAAGGGGTCTCCTCATCAGGACCGAATGTCGCTACCGCATGTTTGGACCGTTGGCAACCCACACCCGATACTCGTCCTAGTAACGAGTCGCGAACTTCAACGACATAGGGCCGACTTCATGACAAGGATCGGGAGCGCTTCTTCATGCCGACTCACGCAGCGTTTCATTGGGCACATGCTGCAAAAATCAAATGGTTCCTGCGTCGCGTATAGCGACACATACCTTTCCCCGTTTTGTAAGGGGTTACTCTTTACTCACTCGCAGCACTTCGACTTATTGCGGCCGGACGAAACACTCGCGATCTTTTGGTATTTGTTGAGAAGAAGTGCATACCGTTTGGAGTTTTCACGTACTGTTCACTGCCCACTATGGAGTTCGTCCGAAGAGCCGGAGATAATGTGAATTTGGTGGTGTACGATAACATTCAGCCCATTGTTTGGATCACCACAGTTCCATTCTTCATAATGGGCTTGATATCATCTGCTATCCGGCTTTACACTCGAGCTTTTATACGAAAGCCTTTTGGTACAGACGACTGGTTCATGCTGGTTGGAACTGTGAGTGTTAAACCTACCCTGTTTCTGAGCCGCGCTGTGACTGACCCAGAGACAGATTTTGTTCATCGGGCAGCAGTATATCGCTTGGATGTGGACCATCTTAGGCGGTGGACTGTAAGTTTGACACTTTCTGGAGGGAAGTTTTCCAACTGTTTTTCTAGGCACGTTACCGACCCTCGTGTTAAGCCTGAAAACCTCAAGAAAATCAGCACTGTACGTTATGGCAGTCTTACGTGCAGTGCGCGCTTTCGTTCGCTTGGTCATACATATTAACACATAAGGCAGTATCTCTTCGCAGAAGAGTTCTACTATCTTCTTCTACAGTTCTTCATAAAGATGTCGTTCCTCTTCTTCTATCGCCGCACACTCGAGGTCACACCAGGTTTTAGGATCGCGGTTATAACCACTATGATCCTGGTCGGCTTGCAGACAGGCGGCACATGGATTTTCTACGGCCTGCAATGTATCCCCATCCAAGCCTTTTTCACCCCAGAACTTTATCCGAACGCTGTCTGCATTTCCTCTGGTCTATCATACTACTTGCCCTCCGTTGCTGTAAGTCGCTCGTCACCTGTCAGACTACTCTCCACTGACACTATGCAGAACGTCTTCATGGACGTAGTGATTTACCTCCTCCCGATCTACCCTCTGTGGAACGTACAAACTACGGTCCGCCGCCGAATCGGTCTGATGTGCGTCTTTACCCTTGGAGGCTGCACGATTATGATTTCGCTTCTTCGCTTCATCGTCCTGTGGCAACTCGCAAACACGAAAGATGTGTCGTACATCTTCGGCTCCGTCACGATCGTCACGTCTATCGAATTCGCGGTAGCGATCATCACCGCCAATATGCCTGGAATGTACGGCTTCTACCGCGCAAGGGTATCGAGAAAAGAGCAGAGTTCCACTGAGGGATACCACTTTGGCATTGCTACCCCTGGATCCAAGGGCCGTTCTTTAGGGAACGCTAGTCGTGTGACAAAAGGTAGCAAACTGAGCACTCATGGCGAGGAAGATGATGTAAGAACAGGGAGCCAGGACGAGCTGTACCCAATGAGCAATCTCGGCGAGAGCGAAGAGGAGCAGAATATACGCGTCACTACGAAGGTCATAGTCGAAGGGGAAGATCCCAAGAGATTGCCCAGGAGTAGTCTCAGAAGCCTCAGAAAGGGACATTGATGGTGGCGATTATGGTCCCTTCTCAACTACGTGTAGCGAGCTGAGAGGCAAGATGGTGGCAGTGATTATGGCTATGCATTATACCCAAACATACGAAGATGTACACGCTTGTGGATTGGTAGCAAGTTTACTCCAGCATTGTTCAGCGTTGGCGCCTGGGGCGCTCTTTTTAAATTTAACACAGAGAACCAGCATACATAGCGAACGGCGTTTATTTGCTCGGAGAAGACTTGCCACAGGATGTCAAATACGACTCGATGTCCGAAATTCGCGCTAGATCATCGGCGTCGAGAACTCCGCACTGCGTGTCAGCAGTCCTTCACATATCCGATACGAGTAATCCAGTGTCGCTCATCGCTCAATCTTTACCTGTACTCAATCAGCCTGTTCACGCAGGAATCAGCGAACACCTCCAGAGCGGATTCTAATGAATGCACCTGATGACTGCCCAGGTGAGTGTTCTGCAATTTGTGTGGCTGATGACATTGTTTCACTCCGAATATTCCGTGTCATTAGCTGTTTCCAGTAAGAATCATGTACATCACCAGTAGGCTCCCGCTTATCAGCAACCTCATCCAATGGCGAGAGAGACTATGGGGCGTGAAGCGATGTGATCTAGACCTACTTGGGATTAGCAAGCTGCGGGGCTGTTTCGCCGGAACATTGAAGGATTACTCCGACGAGGTTCTGCTTCTGTATGTAGGAGCTACGTAAGTTTAGGTGCGGAACAGTTCTTTCGCACTAATCTTACACTATTCGGAGAATCATCTAGTATGCTGCGAAGGAATGGAAAGCCCAGGTTGGTGAATTCGACAGTCAGATACCCACGGTTGGCTAATCGTGACGTGCAGGTCGTGCGAACCATGTCGCATATCGAAAATCAAGTGCGACCATGCCACGCCCACATGCTCAAAGTGCCAGACTCGTGGGATGACAGAACATTGCTTTTACCATCCTAACCCAATGACGAAGCCTGCTGGCACTCCTCGCAAGAAACCAGAGCCGCGTCGTCGCCGGTTGGATGCGCAGGCTATAAATCCGTCATCCAGTCAGGGAAGGTTGACGCCGTTGACCCTAAGTCCACCAACTTTGAGGAATGATGCGGGAATTGGGCCATGGCCTACTCCTCCAGAGTCTGCTACTAGAACAACACAAAGCGGACCCGACCCATCCCGGAACTTCTTCTTGGGCTCTACTAGTTATGCCGCTGTCTTCACAGAAGAGCAGCCCTTACCAGACACAGTACATGAACAGCCATCCGAAAGCCCGAGCACAGCCCCTTTCGTGTCAAATAGAGGCATGGCACACCGCCATTGCCAGTTCTCTCTAGGAGATACGATAGTCTCTACGCTTCAGCCATTTTCCTTCTATGAAAGGTCTCTTCATATGTATTTCGAATCGCACAAGGGTAAAATCTCTCAGGTACACACTGCGTATGAGATACAAACTGACTTAGTACATCAAAATTCTAGATCCAGCCCTCCCTGGTCCCCTTATTCTTTCCGCGTTGCCACAACTGCGCATAGACTTAGAACAACTCCAAGCTGCTGGTAATCACGCACACCTGCTCTACGCCGAGATGACAAGGAATTCCGCTCGCCCAATGAAAATACCTTCAGATATGCGTCCGTCAGAGTTTCACACTCTCTTCACAGGCAAAAATCTGAGATGGGAGATTTTGGGCTTGATCATGGCGATTGCCGGCTCTAGTGCCCAGTTCACATCGCCTAACGACCCCCTCTTCACATTAGAAGATGGCAAGCAGATGAATAGAGAGGAGTTCATCGAGGACATAATGCATGCAACCAATACGTGTATCAACATCTGCCAAACACATGGCGCTGTCAATGAGCGTACGTATCATTCCTACGCAGACTTACTGTACACATTTTGATGGAAGCAGTCATGGTATGTCTCGTTTACATCAACCTGATGGTAGTCAGTAGCTTCTACGGGGACAACCGTACGTCACCCCTACATCCAGAAGACTAAATTACGATCGCTGACTCTCCAGATCATGCTACTTGGAGGCGCATGGGCGACAGTGTATCCGCGCTCTACGCTGCGGGAATCCACTGCGAGGCTTGCAACGTAGACGGTAGCAACGCAGAACCATTCTTCATGCGCGAATTTAGGAGACGACTCTACGCGGCGATATATTACGGCGACAAGACACTAGCGGTGTTCTACGGAAGGCCTCCAATGATGGGCTGGAGATACAGTGACCGCAAGATGTTGTTGGACATTAGCGATCGCGCTATGGCCTCGGACGATACTGAAGTACTCAATGCTGAGCTCTCGAAGCTCGACAGCGACGGTTGGAATACCGAATGTCATCTGCACCCTACTACTTTCGGTAGAATGCGATGCCAACTTGCTGTGTTCAAAGAGAGATTGTTAGAGCAAAGTCTTGCAGGCGAAAAGGATAGCGAAGTGGTGCGGAATGTCGAGTACGTCTAGAATTCCCATCCCTTTTTCACCCTCATCTAACAAGAGCAGAGCAATATCTGCCGAATGCGCCGAATGGTGGAGCTCATTACCGACTCACCTTCGCTATGATACATATACCGAAGAAGCTGCTTGGGTAGACCGCGGTCCTGGTCTGGCCATGCGACTGGTCGCCTACTACCTGGATTACCTGCACGTACATTTCCAAACACAACGCCTCCTTCATCGGATAACGCAACAAGCTCTGCCGGCATTGTTGGAAGTGTCTCTGAAGCTACTGGTGTCCTCACTCGTGGCTTCTAAGCCGCAAAACCGCATATACGAAACTCGTCGCCATTTCCCCACTGTCATTTTATTCTACTGTTCCCCAGCTGCTGGTGTGTTGGCACTAGAGCTGCGGAGATGTACAATTGAGGGCGTACCACTACCTAGCACAGTCTCCCGGGCCGACCTAATCCGTAACCTTTCCGTGTTGACTTCATGTTTGGAATGGAGCGTTCTTCCCGGCGACGGCAATCTCAAGCTTTGCAACGAGCTCAACAAAATGCTCGCGCTGGTACTAGATGAGGTCCTCAACTACGAACCTCCATCCAAAGGCACACTAGATGCCGGTGACGATACCGTAGCTAATCTGACCGGGATGGGGCAGGGATTCTTCGACATGCCCATGACCGAGGGGCTGGAACCTATACCGACAGAGTCCTCCGACTTTCTGAACTGGCTAGACAATGCAACGTGGAATAATGCGGTAAGCTGAAGAGTCACATGCAGAAAGAATTTGCTGACCAATCCAGGACTTGTTCTGAGTGTAATCAATTGTATTGACAGGACTGCAAAGCCTCGGCCAACTAAAACAAACCATCCAACGCCTCATACCCGAAACCCGGTATATTATGGAAATCCGACACAATGTACGCCTCAAACCGCTCTTCCAGCAACATCATTCCCAGAATCTAAGCATGCGAACTATTCCACGCATCATTCCGAACCCCAAATCCGGCAATCTGACTCCTCTAAAGGCGGTGAATCGTTCAGAGCCCGGAAAAGTACGCCGCTCTCGCAGCAGCTCTATTCTCACACTCATCGACTTTCTTTTGCGCTTCGTTGCTCGACTGCGACGTCGCTTCAGGAGCTGCTATCTGTATTAGCTAGAGTTCCAATTCATCAAAGGATGTATGAACATACGCTTTCGGTTCAGCAACTTTGCCAGAATACTTTTCGACGTTGATTTCGTTGAGATTAGAGAGTTCGCATCGGAAGATGAGTATGGCGGTGGTGCAGTGGTAGAATAGCGTGGCAGATCGCTTGGTGAGGTGGTGTTGGATTGAGAAGACATTGTGGTGGTACTTCGGTAGCAGTGACAAGTAGATGTCGTATTGATAGTGCTTGGAGATATTGAGAGGGCTGAGACAGTTGACTTAATGTATGCGGCTGCTCTCGTTGACAAGTATGACTCTGCCATTGATGTTCCACATGTCTTCTTATATGCAGACTCGTCATATCACTACCGATCAGCTCGGAGACCCTATCAGGTTCGTCATTGCCCTTTCCAGCTGCTTCGGAATTCAACTTGACTCTTCCCCACTCAGCACAAGCCATGAACTGCATGCCTTACACATTCGGTGCAGCCCTCGGAGTACCTACTTGGCGGGCTTTGGTAAGCGAGTGCAAGCATCGTGGTGTCAGCGCTAGGCAACAGTGTTAGGCGTCCAATGCCGAATCGCGGCACTGAAGAACGTTGCATGCACAGATGTCAGGATACACGCGTCAGGTGTGTTTTGCAAAGTCTGACTGGTTTTCTTGATCTGGATTGTCTTTTTTTGTTTGCATGTATCCTTATGGCTGCATGGTGACTGAGAATCTTCGGAATGAAAATAGTGCCGATGATTTTGCCGGCAGGTTGGAGAGGGTTAGCTTGACGTGTTTGCTCCGATGGAAAGGGCGGAGTCTAGAAGCCCATGACATTCAAAGGGCACATGCGACCAAATGAGTCAGATCCAGGCATGTTAATGTTGACAATGTTCTTGGATGCGATAAATGCGATGGAGCTGTGGGAGGGCGTTTTCCCTATCACGCAGACTTTGATTCCACCTAGGCGGCTACAACGAATGTCATTTGTTGAATGCAACAGGTTTTGGCGCCTGTGTCAACTGCAAAGTATTTACACGAAGTTTCTACGGGCCTCCCTTGGACTGCATTCAAGCTAATCAGACACACTGCGAGTAGTAATCACCTCCGGCCTTGCAGGTAAGTCCTGAAGCACCTACACAGCGTTAGTAAAGCCTTATTTGCACGTTTTCTCAGCTCATCCGACTTACAAGTTTTGCATCCAGTGAAACCATTTCCGCCGCATTGGCCGTACCTTGCAACAGAGCAAGCGCCAGAACCACCTCCATTCGTTGGCACAGCGGCGGCAGAGGTGGCTACCGCTGACGTCCTCATCGTGGTTGCAGTAGCTGTAGCAACTGGCGCTCCACCAGTAGCAGTGACAGCTGATCCAGCACTACCAGCAACGGCTTCTGTACCACCCGCGATGACTGCCGGACCGGGAGCGACGTACGAAGCGAGGTTCTGGTAGATGTTGATTTGGATACCGGGGTCGGTAGCCTTGTATGCTCCAGGGAACGATACGCCAGCGGGTGAAGAAGATCCACTACCAGTGACAGTGATCTGGTAGCAGGTGATGTAGAATTGGGCGCCGTTGGCACTACCTGCAGCATGTAGCGCAATAGCCTCCGCTCTCAGTAGATAATCTCCAGGGGCCAGGTTGGTGGGAATCTTCACATCCATCTTTCCACAGTTCTTGTTCAGATCCTTAGTACCCCAGTAATCATCCGAACCGCCACCGCCACCGCTGTTCTTCGCCCATGTATCCTGGAAGACCTTGAAGAAGGGGGTCGAACCATCCGCTGTGGATGCGTCTGCAACCTTGGACATGTAGACCAGAACGGGGCCGTAGTGGGCTCCGCCGATGGCTTCGTTAGCGCATGAGCGGTCGCCGTTCTGCTGGTGCATCTCTACGGTGACGGTACCACCGGCAGGAACGCTGCATTTCGAGGCTGCTGGACCGCGGTTGGCGTTGCAGCGGATGTCGTTGCTTGCTACTGAGGTGACGGGGCTGTTGCCATTGGGTAATCTTGCGCACGTCGACTGGTGGATGGATGTCAGCGGTTGATACAAGACACTTGGGGGTACTTATCTGATCTACACCGTTTACCCAAAGCTGCTGAAAAGTGGCATGAGAGGCTACCTGTGTCGCGAAGGCAGCAACGCCGGTCAAGATGATTGCACTCTTCATGATAAATGCTCTGCCGATGATCGTTGGATGAAATGAACGCAAGTGTTGTGACTGTTCTGGGATGGTATCGAATTGAATACCTACTTATCGTCTCTTTATACTTGCCTCTGTATCCCCTAAGAAGTATACAACATGCTCGCTTACAGGTGGAGTGTAGCCCACGGTATCGATCTAGGCGACTACACCCCAAGAGGCAACATTCTAGAGTATGGCATCGTCGTGTGACTTGCGATTATATGAAAGCAAAGCTTGTCAGTGCCGTAACCCGGGTTCAGTTTTCCACGTGTAACGTCCTGCAGGTGGTGTGGAAATTAATCAGTGCGCCAAAGGCAGCCATTCAGTGTTGACTACACCGAAACTGGGCTCTAGATTCGTTTGACAGGTATGCTTTTGGGGGTGTCGTGCAGGCTTGCTTGCATATAATGCGTGTGCTACGAGCCACCGGATAAAGCTCCCGTCGGTTCGGTTGGGCGCAAGTCTTGTGAACGTATGGTAGCTTCTTCTTCGCATCTCTGCGGTTCGGGATCGAGAATCTCAACACTCGTAACGCGTATGTGCTGATTGGCAGTGGTAACCATGCTGTTCCTGTGGATTGCAGCCCCAACACCTTCGGCAACTGAACGTTCGATTTTCACATTGAATTCGCGAGACCGTGATCTAGGGCGATCGGGCGAGACATCCAGGTCTTAGGGCGACGAGTTATCGAAAGCAATCTGTTTAGATGAAATTCGAGAAGCGACGCGTGCCGCGTTTGCGCATTTCCCAGATCCGGTTCTTCGGTTAGAAAGCTTGTTTTTCTCCTCTTCCCAATATGGCGTCGGAGGTGATAGAAGGCTTAAGTCCAGATGAAGTGGCCGCCTGAGAAGTACGTGCTCGAGTTGCAGTAGGTAGAGTGATGGGTCGGCACCTGGCTGGCTGTTGCCGATGTGGGGACGGCTAGCACGTTTGGGGCAGGGGCCCCGGGGGCGCGCACGACGCACACGAACCTCCCTCGTTCCTTCATCGACGCACATCTTTGGTCGACCATGGTGTATCTCTTGATACAAATTTCGATGCGTGTGCCGTTAATCCTAGTCGTTATCGTCGATTGATCATCTTTCGACGTAGCAAAGTGCACTCTTTCGCATCTGTTGCCATCTGCGTGAGTACATTTTTCTTCATTCACGTAGGTCGACCTCGTCGTACTCTATTCATGCCTCAATCTCTTATATGTGTTGGGTTGTGGTCTCTCCGATGTCTTTGTTGCTACATCATCCACCCTATTGATGCCCACGTGAGTATATCAGCAACCTTTGTCTCTCCTCTCAAGCCATCCTTTCGTCATGATCATAGCCTTGTCATCCTTCAGTCTTCACCATCTTTCTCTTCGTCAAACCTCTCGCTTCCCACAGGCCACACACGCACAGCCCGCCTTCACCCAGCAAAATAGCAAACGCCCACACTCACCTTCACCTCGCCTCCCCACCAGTCCAGCCATCTCCCTCCACCGCCTATTTTATACAGAGTATACCACGAACTCTCTCTCGCTATATAGTCCTAGATCTTCTACGTCCCTCCATCGACTCGGGATGGAAGACCTGATGATCGGCCGGAAACGTGCAGCATAGCAAAGGAGTGGGTAAGACCACCGCCAACGCTGGGTCGCTCCCAGCTATGTTGGAAGCCGCGGGTTCGAGTCGTGATAAAACCACTTCTACACTCCCCAAGGCGGCGT